ACTCCACGGCCCAATGCACGGTGGCACAACACGGCACTGAGCCAGAATAATTCAACATATCAATTAAATATGGAGGAGCTGTGGCTAAGCTGTCCCTCGGTGCACGGACGGAGTCCAGGCTGCATGTGCAGCGCTGCAACCTGTCGTCGTAAAATCCCGACGACATCGCCGATACTCGGCTGGTGGCTGAAATCTAATTTAGGGAGCAAGCGCCTCAATTTGAATATGAAGCTCTTGATTGCCCCCATGATGTTCAGCATATCACACAAGAACTTGTCTGTGAAAACGGGGTGTTGGACAATTTAATACAAACAGCGGTCAACCTTTTTTGCCACTAGGTCAAAAATGTAACTCATAACGTTATAAAAAGGTAAAACGTGACAACTTGAAATGATTTCTATTGCCATTCTACGAAATAATGGAAATGGAGACAATCTGTTTTCGGGTCAATCAATGTTAACATTTTAGTACAATCCACATGATATAACACAAATTTATGAAATATATATCTTCCACTGAATATTGGGTGATTGTTGTCGTAGTATTTTTTTAAAAATGTACATCGATGTAGGAAATAAATGATTTGTTGATTACAGAGATGGCAGCCGACTCCAACCATGCTCATCGCTATCCGTTGAGCCTTGAGGCTAATGTTAGGCAAAGGTCAATCTATTTTAGCGAAAGAAAGCCAAGCTGTCAAATATTTTGGGTCATTAAGTGAAATGGCCTGTTTTATTTCCGCTTGCCTTTGCGCACACCGTTTAAGGCCGTCTGAGTCATGCGAAGATGACAGCTGTACCTAACGGTCGCTCATATCGTGTCTTTGCCACCGCATCCAAAGTTTCTATATGCTCTGTCAACTTTATTGACTCATCTTAGCGTACAATGTTCACGAGGTGCACAAGTGCGCTATTAAATGCCACATGGGGTTGATCAACATTGACAATTGAAGAATATTATAATATCCTGCTTTGGGAAATGAATACCACTACCAACTAAAGGCTCGCTGCTTTCAGTCTCTTACATACCTGTCAACTTTTCGGAGCGCCAACCTGTATAAACTACCAAAAAAATCCTTATAACATACCAAAGCATTTTATATGTCAAAATAACGGCAGAAAAAAACCCACGAAATATGAATGATATATTTGTTTCCTTGTAGAACTTGCTTGTACACTACCGAAGTATGCAATGAATACTCTGCTGTTTTCAACTAGGAACCACGTGATTTACTGGAAAGTTACCGGAAATGAAAGCATTCGAGTAGACTAGCACCATTCTGGGCAAAAGCAAACGGGTTGGGGGGGGGGGGGCGGAAATTTTCAGAATCCGTATGATTTGTGCGATATGGCCATATACGTAAGATTCACCACAAAATCCGTATGAACTATGGCTAAACCGTATGAGTTGACAGGTATGCTCTTACAGGCCATGGTGCCATAGTTAATTTTAAAAAAGTTACTGAATACTTGATTTTTAAAGTAATTAGATTAGAAGTTTCTTGAGTAAGTGAAGGCCACAAAAAGATTTAAAATTGCCTATAGATGTCACAAGGCATCAGCAAAGCACCACATGAAACTCCCCAACTTAGTTCAATATAGTTCCCCGGTACCAAACTGTCACGGGAAGGTGTCAAAGCAATAGTTTTATTTCAGACAGAGCTTTAGCCTAAGCATAGGAACTTTGAGTTTGCCAGCAAATAACGAAGAATAAATTGAATAAAAACAATAATTCTAAAAAAAAAAAAAAAATCTGTTAATAGCCGGATCCACCAATTGCAAATATACGAAGGAAACACGAAGAGCCATCACCTCATCGCCATCATGCAAGTAGCCAAGAAAACCTGAATTGTGTGTTTTTTGTGCCTGGGCTGTAATAAACTTAATTACCCCAGATGAGGAAAACAGCCACTAAATACGTAACCATGTTATTTGGATAATAGCGACTGAATGAATGCAGCTTTTTGAACAGTTCATTGTATTTCTTTTTTTTAACCACCATAAAAGTTGCTCCAAACTCTGCGATGATAGGAAACTGCAGGCCCCAGCGTGACAAGAGTTTAGATGAAATAAAAATGTCATCAAGGTTTTTGTTGAGCCAGACAAAGAGAGCGAGAGTGTCAAACACCCAATAAAGACATGTTCAGTATGACATGTTTTGAATTGTGTCACATCCATCATAAGCACCGCTGACCACAAATCCTCCTCCCTGCGGGTGAACACAAAGCAGTTTAAAGAGCTCAGGATTTGGGTCCTGTCGCTCCCTCCATCCTGAGCTGAGCGTGAACTCGCTATCGTGCACAAATACGTCTCGAGTGTGTGTCTATATTTTTGAACGGATCACATGGTTGGTAAAGCACGGAACAGGTTGGTGGGTGGGCTCGATCGGCAACAGGAGAGCAAAGGGAATCCTGAGGGATGTCACGTGAATAAAACGAGGCGGGGCGGAGGTGCGATCGTTGTTGGACGAGGAATGATGTTGACGCTCCAACTCAACAGGCACGCAACGACTTTGTGGATGCTGTATGATGTGGCGTGCAATTAAGTAAATGCTGGCACTGATCACACCAAAATTGCCCCAGGTTATTTGTGTGTCATTAAATCGTAGTACAAGGACGAACACTAAGTTCAGATTAAAAAATACTTGGGGTTTTTTTTCATACCTTTAAATCTGTTTACCATGAAATTTTAATAAAAAAACATATCTTGCATCTGGACCGTATTCATGCAGAGCTTCACTTTTTCCGCTTTTTTTTTTTTTTATTGTTCTTGTTACAACCCAAAATGCCAAGATGAGAAGAAAGTTTTCTGATTATTTTTTTGCGGGGCAGATTCTGGAAATGAAACCACTAAGAAAACATTTTAGTCGTGTATTTTTGAAGATGATACCACAAGCTCGGCAC